TGAAGCACTTGGAGGAGAACAATGGTGATTAGGAACAGACAGCATTGATTCACCAGGGGCAAGTCATGCCTGACAAACTTGATTGCCATCTGTGATGAGCTGACTGGCTCTGTGGACATGAGGAGACTGGTGGATGTGGTGTACCTTGATTTCAGCAAGGCTTTTGATATGGTTTCCCACAACATTCTCACCGGCAAGCTAAGGAAGTACAGGCTGGATGAATGGGCTGTAAGGTGGATAGAAACCTGGCTGGAGCATCAAGCTTGGAGGGTAGTAATCATTGACTCAATGTCTAGTTGGCGGCTGGTATCAGTGGAGTGCCCCAGGGGTTGGTCCTGGGGCTGGTTTTGTTCAATATCTTCATCAACAACCTGGAAAATGGCATAGGGTTCACCCTTACCATGTTTGCAGATGACACCAAGCTGGGGAGAGTAATGGATATGCTGGAGGGTAGGGCTAGGATTCAGCGTGAACTATTCAAATTGAAAAATTGGGCCAAAAGGAATCTCATGAGGTTCAACAAGGACAAGTGCGAAGTCCTGCATTGAGGACAGAACAATCCCATGCACCAGCACAGGCTGGGGGCCGACTGGCTGGGCAGCAGCTCTGCAGAAAAGGACCTGGGGGTTACAGTGGGCAATAAGCTGAATATGAGCCAGCAGTGTGCCCTTGTTGCCAAGAAGGCTAATGGCATACTGGGCTGCATTAATAGGAATGTTGCCAGGAGGTGAAGGGAAGCAACTATTCTCCTCTCCTGGTGAACCCACATCTGCAGTACTGTGTTCAGTTTTGGGCCCCCGCTACAGAAAGGATGTGGACCAATTGGAGAGAGTCCAGTGGAGGGCAGTGAAAATGGTTTGGGGGCTGGGGCATGTGACTTCTGAGGAGAGGTTGAGGGACCTGGGCTTATTTAGTCTGGAGAAGAGAAGACTGAGAGGGGGGATTTATTAGGAGCCTTCAATTAGCTGAAGGCAGGTTCAAAAGAGGATGGAGCTGAACTGTTCTCAGTGGTGGCAGATGACAGAACAAGGAGCAATGGTCTCAAGTTGCAGCAAAGGAAGTTTAAGTTAGATATTAGGAAGAATTTTCTCACTAGGAAGATGGTAAAACACTGGAACAGGTTACCCAGGGAGGAGGTGGACTCTCCATCCATGGAAGTGTTTAAGACCCGGCTAGACAAAGCTTTGGCTGGGACGATCTAGTTGGGGATGATCCTGCTTTGAGCAGGGGGTTGGAATAGATGATGTCCTGAGGTCCCTTCCAGCCCTAGTTTTCTATGATTCTGTGATTCTATGATTCTTAGGAAAAATGCTTATTATTAAATGACTGAAGGGTTGGGAAGCTGTGCAAGGTGCAACATCTCTTGAGAATTTGGTATGTAGTCATGACTCTCCATGATGAAACTAAAACTATGCTAAAAGAGCTTGTGGCTGTAGAGTCTGGCTGGCTGGTGACATGGTTCAGTAGGCATTTAGTGCTTTATCTTTTGACCAAAATTAATCACAAATGACTCAGTTTGATGTCACCCAGGGTGAGAAACTACTTTGCTGCAGCTCAGCACAAATTCACAGGATTGTTAGGGGTAGAAAAGCATTTTTATTGCTTATGACTCACTCTGAGGATCACATCCTGCTGGTAGGTCAAGGAGCTACTGAACTCCACAGAGGAGTCAGAGGTGTGCTTTGCTGCCTCCGACTGACCTTTTTTGAATACTAACAGAGGGCAGAAGAGTGCTAGCTAACAAATGACTCCCAGGGAACAGTGGACAAGGGTATGGTCTTGCATCTGTTCTTAGATCCAGCTTGGCTAGATAACACTTGTCACCTGGAACGCCATGTGGGGTAAACCCCTCATTTTGAGGCCTGCCTTGCTCCTGCACCACCTCAGCCACACTATACCAACCTGCCCTATTGAAATGAACCCACAAGTAATCCATGCCAGGCTCAGCTTTCCCTTCCTAACACTATTCTTCTGATTGCAGGTTCCATGTATGAGGGTCTGGCTGATGGCTATGCTTATGGGACAGGCCGGGGCAGCTATTATGCCAAAAACCAGACAGGAAACGGCACCTGGGGATATCCGGTAAGATACTGTTTTATCTGTACTGTTGCATGCGGTTGTGTCAAAGATAGAGCAACTCACAGTCTGAGAGTCCAGAGGGACCGATTCCTTCCTGCTCAACATGAACAAGTTGTGATGCCTTGCAAACCAGAATGAGGTGAACATCATACGTCCCCAGAGGTTTTAAAGCTATGTTGGGAGATGGAGGTGTCTTCTTCAAGAATGGAGGCAGGAAATTTATAGGGAACACCACAGCCCTGGATATCAACAGTTCAGAACCCAGATCAGCTTTTCTTATACTTCTGGATCTTTGGATTTTGAATACTTTGGAGGACCTTAAAACGTATTAGTCATTTCAGAGATAGGTGCAAGCTGCAGACTTATATCAGAAGCTGGATCCAGTGTTTTGCTTTGTATCCACCTCTAGAAATAAGGGAAAGATTCAGTGACGGGGGAGTGGATGGTAAACTAATGGTACAGAATCCAGCATAGTCGTGTGTGGTATTGTCCTTTAAAAAGTATCAGTGACTTAGCTATAGTGTAAAAAGTTGGTTTGGGGAAGCAGATGTTGATGCCTGGAGGAAGTTTAGGGGTCTGAGAGCTGCATTTCACAGGCCCTGTTTTTCAGCAAAAGGAGTCCACTGTGAACTGGAGTGAATGCAGAATCAAATGTTATTAAAATTATCCAATGGGAATGTTGCTAGCAAATAATGAATAACACAGCACATCTAGATATGCAGTCCAAACAGCAATAAGCACTCTCACACATTAAATCTATATTGTGAAAATCATAAGAATTCCTAACAGGTGGCTAGCCTCGTGGGGAGATCTCCCCCCAAATTCAGGCACTTTGTTCTAAGAGGCTTTGGATCATCATTACATCTGCGGACAGGAACGTCAGGAAAGGATGCCAGAGGATCTCAAAGAAAGGCTTACAACATTACTTGGTCATAATGAGATAAACATAGTCAGAAAGGTGATGTTCTTATGTCACATTGCGGTCAGGCTGGAGCATACTGGGTGTGCCTGCATATGCGCTTTAATACACATTGGTGTATTCTATTAAAGCATCACAAAAACCCCCACGGTCTTTAGCTAATGCGCATTAAAATAAGCTAATGCTCATTTTTCTAGTACCTCACAATGGAGGTACTAGATTTAATGCGCATTACCTGAAGTGCATTAATGAACATGTAGATGCACCCACTGACTTTCACTGTTCAAGATCTGAGTTAGCCTTTCCTAGGAAGTTCTCTTGCTTGTGACTCAGTTCCTTTTATATTACTTCCCTTGGCTTCACTTACGTTATCCTGGTGTAATGTAAACTTAACACAGCCTAAGGCCTACTAAAATTACTACCATACAAGCTGAAAGAATTCAAATTTAACACAAAGGTCTAAACCAAGAGTCAGCAACCTACAGGTCTGGCCCTCAAAGGGGTCTGATCCAGCCCAGGAAGGTCTGACCTGGTCCAGGGTGGCACCGGGGTTTGGACAGCAGGCAGCTGTGCCTGGTCACCTATCCCCTCCACGTCATTCTGCTCTACAGCCCTCCTTGCTCCTTTCTTGTGCCTGTGTCCCTTGCAGCAGAGGGCTGAGGTATCTGCAGAATGGGTACACACAGGGAGACCTCTTTGAAGGGAGGGGTGGGGCAGAGATTGGGAGTCCACGACTGGACTCAGGGTTTGGGTCACAAGCTCCAGCAAAAGGGGGCAAAAGGGTAGCCAACTCCTAGTCTACACAGATCCCCTTTTGGCTTTGTTTTGGTTCCTCCTTTAGTGCTCACCAAGATTGCTATAAATGCTGTGTCTGTTGACTGTTGAAGACCAAATCAAGGTCACAGTGACTGCTCAGATCTGTGCGTATGTCTCCTCCTCACCTCTGACTGATCTTCCCATCCTCTGTGACTTCTGCCAGTGGGTGATAAGGAAAGGGACAAAGAAGCAATTCTCATACCTAGGACTGAAATATATGGAAGCAAAAGGGGCTCTGCTGGCAGTACTGGAGATGATCATTCCAAGCCTCAGACAAATACTCTGTCAAAAAATTTCTCTTATTGTCCTCCCAATGAAGCAGTATGCTCCATTTGGATACAGAGCCATTCCTGTCCTGGCTGTGACCTCAAGACAAATGTCTGCAGTGGCTTTTCTGCTCTGGGTTAGAGGGTCAGCTTGCTTCCTGCCAGCCACCACCTCCCGTCACATTCTGCCATCAGTGTTATTCAGCCACAGAGAAACTGGTTGTGGCATACGATACTGGCCTAGATGATATGATCACATCCCTTGCTTGCGGCTGTTCTGTCACCAGACCACCACAACTGACATAATGTAATAGGTCACCTGTGAATGATTCTTGTTGCTCTCACATACAAATGGTTAAGCACACTTAGTCTCCCAGTTAGAAGTGGCAGGAGGCTCTGGTACGTTCTGAAGTTTGCATTCTCTTTCTGTTGGTTTGGACTCTTTTTTTTTTTCTAATCATTTTACCTCTTTTTGTCTAGCCATATGTTCTTTATTATATTATCCCTTGATAGGGGGGCTTTGGCAGAACGTGACTATACAGGTGTTCTTCTTTAGCTCATGTGGCTCTGCTTTTGGTAGAAAAAGTCCAAGTTTCCATCCCCACAGGTGAGCTTGGAGACCTCAGTATAGTAGCTCTACACCAGATCAGGTGCATATGATCACTTCATGTGCCGGTGCAGTGGACAGTGTGATCTCAATTCACCAACAACTCCTTGGCCGTGTACCACATAGTGGGGCTGAGCCACATGCTGGAGCTGAGAGAGACCATTACAACTATTTTACACTCCTGCTGGTACTTTGCATTTCAGGTCTTTAAACATAGGTTGCAACCGCTTCTCCAGCTTGGTGTTCAGAAGCCTGTTGACTGAAAGGGACTTGTCCATGCTATAGTTGTAGCAACTGGCTAATACATCAGTGTCTGAAGGTATGTCTTGCTGTAGTCAGAGGTGTGACCTCAGTTCCTGTACACATATGCTAGCTTTAATTTTGATGATTTGGATACCAGTACAGGTGCAGTACAGTTGAGGTAGTCTGGGATTCAGCACAGGCTGCAAATTTTTCTGGGACCCAGAGTAAATTGTTGGGCAGCTCACCAGCATCGAGCTCTGTGTTGCGTGCTGTGACTCTGTAGTGCTTGCAGTACTGAGTGAGCTAGCTAGATGGCAGCTATCTTAGGTAGGTCTATATTGGACTTCAGTCATACCTTCAAAGGCAGCAAGCTGTATCCTGACACAGATTGCTCCATGTGGAGCCAGAATATCCTGCAATGAGCAGAGAGCAAAGCCCTTTGAGGCCCAGGGTTTCCATCCTGGGCCAATGTAATTTTGCTTGCGAAGGCACTGGACTGTAGGGCTCTGTGAAACGGCTGTGTTTCAGTTTGGTTTCGGGGCACAGTGATTTGTTTTGGTGTTTCAGATCACTGTCCTGTTTCATTTTGGCTGAATCTGTTTTGGAGATTCGGCTTTGCCAAACCTCCTTCAAATCTGTTTCGAACGGGATGCAAGCTTTGCACAGCCTTACTGCCCAGCCAGATGAGTCTTGGGGCCAGGGGCTGCAGGGCCCCAGCGGGGAGTAGGACAGGGCCGTGGGTGTCTCGTCCAGGGGAGGGGACTGCTGCACAGATCTCTGATCCTTGTCCTGCCGAGTCATGGGGCAGGAAAGCAATGCAGAGCAGCGAGCAAGCCTGCTGGTCCCTGCCACGCAACTCAGCTCCGTCTTTTGTAAGCAAAGCTTTTTCTGGAGACCAAAAGGCTTTTCTTACCAATGGCTGGAAACAGCCTTCTGCACTGGATTTAACCTTTGTCAGTAGAAATCGTGGCTGGTCCTTCAAGGGGTGATTCAACACCATAGCCCAATGAATATTTGACCTATCTGATGCTGCTGATTATTAGGGAGTTGTTAGTGCTGGTTCTGACATTAGTTAGGTACATACCCTTTTGCAAACTGTAGTGAGATCCTTGAGCATGTGTAAGTTGAAGGTACCAGCTTTCCCCCAACCATGAGTGCCTCTGTGCAGGATAAACTATCCACCTTAATTGTATCTCTGGCTACCATACATCATGGCCTGAACAAACACTGGAATCTGCCCCTGTTTCACCAGTCCTGCATTCTCCTTGGAAATAGGATCCCTCTGGTCTCAGTGGGAGCTGGGCCTGAACCGGGACTTCAAAGTCAAGTTCATTATTTGAGGCTACCAAAAGGATGCTTTGAGCAATTTTATTAAAGAAAATAAGGAGCTTGATTCATTTCATGTAGCCACCAGCACAGGCACCGGAACCTATGTGTTGTACAGACCCCAAGATTTTGTGTCTTTTAGAATAACGTTTTCTCCCTGGTGAGCTGCTCTCAGACTAGATCAATGCTGCCTCTCAGCTTGCAAATAAAAAAAAGGAAGAAGCTTATATAAAGGCAGTGTTCAGGAGGGCACAGGAAGGAGGGTTTCAGAAGTGGAGGGACACTATTTCTGCTGGTTTTGCAGTTTTCCCTCTTGTAAAGCAGTGTGTGTAACAGGCAACAGCGAATGTATTTCGCAAGCTGGATCAAGGGTGTTCACCACCCGTCACTCAGGGTGGGACGCTGTCATGTTTCATTGCTTTTGCTTTTCCCTCCGGCCTGGGAGAGACTTGCTCTTACCTGTTTGTATGCAAGCTTTCCCTTCTCGCTGTCTGCAGCTCTTGAAACAAAAAAAATTACTAGGGGAAAAAAAATGGAACCGGCTAATAAAACGTTTGTTCCCTAGATGCAGAATTCAGAGGTAGCCAGATACTGGAAGGTTCATGGACCCAAAAATCAACTTGCTTCCTGCGCTGGCCTGCTGCAAAATCTTGGGCAGGTCCCCACTCAGGTTGGGACTGTGGTTTTTCCACCTGGGAAGTGAGCAGCATGATAATAACCTCCTTCAGTATGGGTGCTTGTGATCTGCAGATGAAACACACCATAGAAGCACTCATTTCTTAACAATAGAAATAATTAATGTTATTCTGGCAACCTCTCTGTGACT